GGGGGGGGGTTGTTCAGTAAACTGCTGTGAATTTCACTTGATTGTCTGTTACCCAAAGGGACACTCTGTATGGCCATGATGGACCTGGAAGCAGATGTAGGTACCTCATCAGATATTTCATTCATTTCATTTATTCACTCCACTCCCCACCTCCTCCGCTGTTGCCCCCAGCACCCATGCGTGTGATGCTGTTACCCTAACAAACTGCACTATAAATTCAACTTAATTCAGTTCAATTCAATTCAATTTTTGTATAATGCATTTTCACAACATTACATTGTCTCAAGGCAGCTTACAGCATCCCCACCCAAAGCCCCCAGTGAGCAAGCCAGAGGCAACAGTGGCAAGAAAAAACACCCTAGAAAGAAGAAACCTTGGGAGGAACCAGACTCAACCGGGGAGCTCATCCTAAGTGCCTGTTACTCCATAACAGACATTTTAATTACTGCAATATGTTGTGGTCACCCTTGGGAAATCTGCATCATATATGTAGACTTAAACTATGTGCCTAAAAACAGGTATCGATATAAGGATGACAGCTTCCAATTACAATTGCTTATTGTGTCCTGTCGACTCTGCCCAGGCAAAACGCCCTCGCTGTAGTCTTTAACTGTGAGCTTCCTTCCATGCCCACTCTGATAGCATCGATGCTTACGTTACCATAGCAACAACATCCGTCTCATTTTTCACGTTTCCTCTCAAATGCATATCCGATGTGCAGCTACCATCGGCCGCTGGCGGGGGTGATGCGTAACTATTAGCCTTCAAATCACCGCGTTTTTAAAAATGTCGACCGAAACATTTAACATTTAGGGCCGAGGGTGGAGCCAAAGGCGAGGTTTGCGGCGAGGGGGCGAGTAATTGGACACCATGGCCATCTGTCATACGGAAAAGGAGCCAGCCCTGCTACGGAAGCCGAGATGGAATGCGTTGGTTTGGTTGGTTACGGGGAGGCGAATCCCCACCCGAAAGTATGGCTGCCGCGAGTATGTGGTGTGATAGTGCCATAGGGAGAAATGAAAGGAGGTGGAAAAGGAATCATAGAGGCTAAACTTATCCTAATGTTTCTTCCACCCCATCCAAGCATTGTAGTATTTTTCTATATTTGTGATCAAATAATGCTCACGTCCCTCTGCAGACGTCTTACTGATGCACTAGCAGCAGTTTTTTGTGTAAACCCATAACAGGGTTTCGCACCGGGGCAAGTTTTCTCATGTTTTAGGATGGCGAGCTGAACGCACAAAAAACAGGCGTTTATAATTTGACTGTCAGTTATTTTTTCCGTCTATCGGGTTTTCAGATGGCAGTGGTGCGTCCGGCAGCGCCGTGTCTGACAGGAGGCTTCCCTCTGCTGTAGCCCGATTTCCCGGCCGTGGCTCCGCGATGGCTGTTCGCTGCTTGCGGCTGGACAGAGAGCGCTAGCTGCCGATGCTGCATGTGCTTCTTAGCCCATTTTTTGTCTGGCAAAAATGAAGCTCAAGTTTTGACAAACCAGTTGCTTCGCCGGGGATTTACTTCCAGGTTCAATGTCCACGAGAAAACGTTGATTTTTGATTTCGAGTCTGTTTTTTTAGACGCTGTTTTATTATTTTTTAAAATTTGCATTAAAGGGTCTGAAGTTGGGAGAGACATGCGTGAGTACAAAGTGGTGGTCCTCGGCAGCGGCGGGGTGGGTAAATCCGCCCTCACCGTGCAGTTTGTCACCGGAACCTTCATCGAGAAGTACGACCCGACCATCGAGGACTTCTACCGCAAGGAGATCGAGGTGGACTCATCGCCCTCGGTGCTGGAGATCCTGGACACGGCCGGCACGGAGCAGTTCGCCTCCATGCGGGACCTGTACATCAAGAACGGCCAGGGCTTCATATTGGTCTACAGCCTCGTTAACCAGCAGAGCTTCCAAGACATCAAGCCCATGAGGGATCAGATCATTAGAGTCAAACGGTAGGTGCCAGTGAAGGTCCCGAGAACAGTGACAGCGCACTGCTGGGTTGTGCCCAAGGCCTCTGTCAAGTTTATCGAAGTGTTCCCCTCCACCCACATACAGCATCACAGTCATTAGAAGGCGATTCAAATCGGGCTCTGCAGTGCAGTATGAAATGTTAAACAATGATTAAAATCTGATTTAAACTTCTTTGGAAAATTCCGTTATCTACGTTCTATCCAAGAGTTTTAGTCATAATACCATACGAATGATAAGTCTGACATTTTGGGATTGTTTTCCATTGTCGTTTGGCCATTTCCTGGATTTGCAGCCTTTCTCGACTTTTTGCAAGGTACAAATGTGCTGTTTGTGTAGTTCCATGACATGAAACCTTCCATTGTTGGGAAAAGAGTGAAATGTCAGATATAGCCAGTCAAATATTGGGATCTGAAGTATGTAATTGCTTACATGATATTGGTTCATTATTGCAGGAAACAATTGAGGTTCTTTATGAGATTAGTTTATAGTGAAATTAATATAGAATTCAGTTATGGGTTGGGTCATCTCAAACTTGTTATGATGGCATAGTGGTTAAAGTCCTTGACCTTTTTAACCAGTAGGTTATAAGTTTAAGCCCCATTGTGTGGAGTTCTGCAGTTCAGTTTCTTGTTACATTCAATATCCAGCATTGGTGAAAGAATAAAATGATGAAATGTGTGAGTAACTTTAGACTCCGACGCAGGAATGCTGGAACTCGAGTGCATTCTTGAACTAATCAGAGAAACTGTTTTGTAAGAGATGAGGATTTGATGCAGCTGCCCAGTGTACATTGGCCAGTGTGCATTGTAACACCGTGGATGCCCATCGAGGTTGCCTTTTAACCTTTCAGTCCTTGGTTCTGGTTGTCATCGTTTGATATGATGGGCACTGTTGTGCTGTTCTGGGGCAGAACCTGTGTACCAGGCAGATTTGGAGGAGAGCTTTCCTTGAATGAACCGGTATAATCGCTGCTCCACCCCCCACACCCGGTACTGTACTGTTATGGAAGCCACCCCCCCCCAACCCAAAAAAGAAACAACACTAACACCGGAGCACTATCCCATCCAAGGAAACGCCTCATTCTGAATTAGAGGAAAAACACAGGCTGTTTGGGAGAGACGTGGAACACAGCAACTCTCCTTGGCTGTTTGATGAACAAGCTCCTATTTGGAAAAATCATTTCTTGAAGTAGTTTCAGATGATGACAGTAAGTTGAAGTGTTCAAATGAAGTCTCTCACAGCTTCGGGGGGGGACAGCTTTTATAGAGAAGCCGGACAGAATGGTATTTTATGCAGGATCTGAATGTCTCTCCCTTTCACTAACTTTGTAATGCATTTTTCTGTCAAATGAAGGGCTGTTATCACAACTTCACTTTATCTCAAAAATTGTTGTGAATATCTCACGTCTAAATTGTTTCAGGCTGAAAATTATACCCGTTTGACATGAATTCACTCCTGCCTGCAGCCCTGACCTTCCTCAGAAATGACCGTGATTTCTTTTACCCCCAAGATATGAAAGCTTTCTGCAGGCACCTGCAGAGCTCTTTATACCACAAGATGTCACAGAGTGGGCAGCGGCTTTGGGCTTTTAATGACCTGGTGCTTTGGGTGCCCTGCAGTCTCAGAATGAAGTCCCCCGACCACGGTGCACTGGTGGCTTGCGAGGGACAAGCCGAGTCGGACTGCCTGGACAGCAGGCACCATCTGCCTGTGGAACCTCCTGGTCATTCTGCTGTCATATGGGAACGACTGGCAGAAGAAGTACGCTTCAGTCTGACTGCTCATATAGAATAAACGAAAGAAAAAAAAACAGTTGTGCTTTTTGTGAAGCTTAGGCATCAATGAAATCCATGTGTGACACGTCAGCTAACGTTTCTGGACGTCAGCTAACAGGAATGATGTTTAGGAATGAAGTCTGCTTTGTTGGGTTTTCTGTCCCCTCAAGTACATGAACCTTCAGAAAATCGGTCTTCGGAAACTGCTGACCCTTGTTTCCATTCATGGTCATCCAGGACCAGGGTGGTGACCTCACCCAACTGACTATCGGAGACCCTGCGCCTCCATGGTGCACTTAAGCAGCAGCTCTCTCCTGCTGGTGGCTTGCTGGACTCCCCTTGAGGGTGGGGAGTCTTAGCGTTAGATAGGGGCACAGTATTATTAAGGGTTCCGCATAATCCTTTATTTTAGTGACTTCAGTCTGGCTGTTTGCTGTTGCTTTGTCACATGTTACAATGACATCGTGCTGCACTCAGCTATTGTCTGGCTGAGTCTGTTTTTTATACCTTCAATTCTTCTTGATCTCTCTCGAAGCCCTGGATTACAGTCTGTGAATGAATATTTAACAATTGAATCGTTACCCTGAAATCTTATTAATTGCTTATGTCTTTCTGCGTTGTAAAATACCTGCCCATACCAGCTGCCATTTCCTGGTTTAATCAGCCATATGGAAAGCCCATTGCAAGTTCACTGAACTTGCAATGCATCTCGATGGAATGGGATCTTGGTGCCCCAATCCTCGGCTGGTACAGGAAAGTTTGTTCTTTTGAGCCTGTAACAGGATGCCATTGATGAGTCGTGATCAGACTGTAAACAACTAACCAAAATCTTTACTGACTCTTCTGTCTGTTTCTCTTCAGGTGGTTCGGTTTGCGTTCAGAACTCGGGTTCGAATCCTAAAAAGTTTGAGTTCTGATCGAATTTTCCCCATAAGAAATTATGGAAAACCAATGAATTGGTTCCCGGCCCCAAGAAATTACACCTAAATATGTTTTTTTTTTTTTTTTTTTTTTTTAACATTTAAACACAAAATGAACCGGATAAAACAAGAAGAGCATATACTGTACTAAACACATCTAAGCACATTTATCAAAACAGTCATTTGTAAAGTAAGAAAATAAATGTATCCAAACAATGTGTCCTGCCCCGATCGTCCACTCCTTCCGTGTGCCATGCCCCCTCGTTAACCCTGTGTGGAATCCCCATGTGATCGGCTGTTTCTGGTTGTTGTCATTAGTCCTCTGTATTTCGTCCACGTTTCAGTTTGTTTCCCCAGTCTGGTCATTGTATTGTCCGTCTGCGTTTTGCCTGCCTTACCTGTAATTAAACCCCGTATTCTCCGATACCCTGACGTCTGTGCCTTTGTCTCCATTCCGTCCCTGCTGTGCACGACAATATTATTATAATTAAATGTATGAATGGTTTATTATTAATATTAAAATAATAAGAAATCTTTATTTTTTAATGTATTACATAATAATAATTACTGTTATTGTCTATCATTGTCTAAATTTACATTTACATTTACATCATTTGGCAGACGCCCTTAGCCAGAGCGACTTACTGTACATAAGTGCTTTAAGACTCCACAATGAATTTTTCCCGATACTAGCTCAATGTATTTTTACTGTCTAAATATATGTATTCAGCTAGTGTAAACATGCATGGTGCTATCACAGCGAATGCGAGGCTGAGACTGAAGCTTTACCCTTTGTTTCCACTGAGAGATGTGCCGCGTGACTCATTTCCCCGCGTGTACAAGTTATCTAAGGTCGGCGTTCACGGTTTGACTCCTGAGATTCAGATCGAGTTCTAGGTAATTTTTTTTCGAAATGGAACTGCCCTCTTTCTCCACCAAACTTGGCCACCAGCCAGCTCAGTCATTGTTTCAGCTGGACTCACCCACATCTGCCTGGAACTTCATGTTCACCAGAAATAAATTTAAGCTGGAAAAGTAAACATGGCTCTTTCCTACTCCTGCATCTGAAGAGCGATGCACCACATGTCTGTCTGACTTTTGTATGAACATAAGACTCGGGTGCCATTTCCAGTTGGCTTTAGAATCCTCCCCTACTATGGTGGTTGTGGTTTGTTTTAAGGGTTCAAGTGAGAGAAGATACAGATAATTTTTGCTTGCCATCATGGGTGAATGAGGGCCGGTGTTTAGGGAGGATGAAATGACCCATTTCCAGCAAAACTTTACCTCTGCGGCAGCCCAGGTGCTGTTCGACCCAGAGGCCTGCTGTGCATCCAGTGCTGGACGCTTCATTGATGTCACTGTTTGAAGGCTTTAGACCAGTTTTCTTTAGTGGGAGCCATAGCTTCCATGTGTCAGAAATGGACCGAATCTAGGGCTCAAATACAGGACCATGGGTTGGTGATAGTTGGACTAGTTGCCTTGAGCTGAGGCCGAGTGCCTCCGGAACACAGGCACCATTCCAGGGAGCCTGGAACCCCAAGGTTTCTGTGCTTCTTGAGACCACCTGGATCTTAAATTTTTCTCAATTGCTGTCTGCCATTACGGGGAAACAAAGCATTGCTGCAGATCCTTCTGGTAGCTGATGTTTTTGACATTTGCCCAGTTTACATCTGTTTAATCCTGCTGCTTCTAGCAACCTTGCAACGGCCTGCTTTTGGAACCTCAATGGGGAGGTGGATGTCTAGCAGTTGACAACTTTGGTGGATACATCAAAGCTTAGGATCCTTGGTCTTAATGGTCTGTGCAGCTGGGTGTTTTGGGAATCTCCACATGTTAGTTTGCCATTGACGTTATTGCACAAAATTGGATGACTTGCTCTGATGGCTTGAGAAAGGTGCAGGACCATGGATCAGCAACCACCTGTTGTTCTGAAGTCCTCTGGACTCCATCCTTTGTCACAAATGCATGAGGTGTCCAAATCACAGCAAGAGTGAAGGGCCCAGAATACTTACTACTGGAAGACCATCTGTGATGTCAGGCCTGTGGAGCAACTTCTCAAAAAGGCACTGTAGGGTGACACAAGAAGGGGGAAAGCATGAGCTAACTTAAATGGTGAGCAAACTGGGGGCCTTTAACGGTAGAATGTCTCCATGACTGTTGGCGCTGGATTACCATCAGGTAAAGCTGTAAGGTCCTTGAAGCTCTGAGTGTCCCACAGCTATTATACTGCATTTCTAGGAACAAGTGACTTTTTAAGAGGATGGAAAGTTAACGTCTTTTCACTTTTGTAAATGCCATTGCATATCTCACAATTTCCTGTGACAATACAAAACCTGTTCTGCCTGAACTGCAGTGAGGATGTGAAAATGAAAAGATTCTGTATTTTTCTATTTAGAGCTGTGTCTGTTGTACTCGCATCACAAGGGGAATATTGCAGTATTCTGCTTGAGTTGTTCATTTTCTAGCTTGAAAGTGGAAAGTTGTTTGTTACAAAATTGCGTTCTGTGGTGTCAGGCTGAAATTCGCCCCACTAGTTTTTGTGCCTGTGTATACTCTACCTTTTGGTATATGTACAGAGAGAAGTTTAATTGGATTTTTTGGTATGATCACAAGAAAATGTCTTTATTTTATTGGTCCTTGGGATTCCCAGTCTATGTGCTGTGCACCTCGTGTTGAAAATTCCCCGGTAACCTCAGGTTTCACCTGAAATATATACCCCAGTAAAGTAAAGAAAAAGGTATTTTTCCTTTCCCCTATTCATATGTCATTTAATAATTTAGCACCATGAATTTTTCATTGAATGGACTAACCTTTGAAAAGGATAGTGACAGCTTATACCCGCCAGAGGTGTTTGTTATGCTTGCTCTTCTGGACCGCTGGCTGGATTTAATAATGACAGGAGCAGAAATTGTTTTTTCATCTTGTTCGGTTGGGCCCTCGGGTAGGAGCTCTGATGTGTGCGAGACACATAAACTGTTCTCATTATAACTCACAGCCGCTGAAACCTTCCAGCAAGGAATCTGGAACACAACCTTCTGTGTGAAGGCTGATTTGATGCGTGAGCAGAATCGTCTGGATGCACCTGCTTATTCTACAGAATCCTTACTGACATTTTTCTTCTTACACTGTCTTCAGTGAACTTTGATACCCTGTTCTAGTTATCAGAGGGAGTTTGCTAAATGCTGGTCTGAATGAGGTAGTTCCAGAAACCGATTATTAATAAAAATCGCACATCCCAGCCCCCTCTCTTTTTGGCACTAGGGTGGTTATTTAGCATTGTTTAACATGGAACACTCAGTGTATTCACAGAATTCCTCTTAAGCTGTTTTCTATGTGGGTAGGCGGGGTTGTTAACTGTCAACTCCTCAAACGCTAACTGGTAGCCATCTCAGAAATGCCTGAACTGGTGGAGTAAAATTGAAAGGGCCTGATTCCAGATTCTAAATTAACTGGTATTTTCTTTGGCCTTTTAAAGGAGACAGATCATTTGTATTTCAGTCTCAAAATAACACACTGTAGACTGAGAAACATAATTAGTGAGAAGACCTGGGTGTAACTGGAATATCTACTGGCTCATGCGAGATGCCTGCCAGATGGACGCGTAGGACGCTTTATCAGTGTCCACTTTACTAGTTTAGCGCTTCAGTGAGAATTAGTGGTTAAAGCCCAGGGATGGCAAGTCTTAGATACTTTTTATCATGAAGTCCAGTCATTATGTTCCTCCATTATTCTTTGCTTATTGCTTGGATCTCCTTGTTGCTGCTCATTTTGAAGCTTTCTGTGAGTTTCCAGTGATTTCTTAAGATAGGTATCCTCCCAGAGTGATGGGAAAAGCTCACTGTTGGGGATGGAGGGGTCAAGCTGTGTGGACTTTCTGAAGCCAGAGGAGAGGAGGAGCACTGGATCAGAGAAATGTTTATGGTGCCTCCTCAGAGCGTTCAGTGCTGATTACTTAAGGGGTTGTGGTGGTAATAGGCTGGTGCACCATGTGTTTGGAAGTGGATCCACTGCATTTAAGGCAGTTATGTTCAGAAGTTCTCTTATTTACCAGCTTTGGGGGATGGGGGGTCATGCTTTATCAAACTTATTGTTATTTGAGTTCCTCAGAAAGACTCTTTACTCATTCTTGTAGACCTCAGTGCCTTCTCTGGAGATTCCTCTCCAAGAGTTCTCCAAAGGCTGACTTCCACCTTGATTTTGTATCAGCCTTGACAGAACACAAAAGCCCCCCCCCAAGCCACAAAGAGGTTATTATATAAGCTTCTCCAAGAATTGTCCATGGATTGCCAAGTTATTCCATTAATGCTGACTTTACCAATAAAAGTATTTTTTTACCAGTAAGGATATGCTGGTATATAATGAATTCCTTTTAATATAGAAAATTGCTTACAGCATTCCTGGGAAAGACACGGTGTGCTCCTGGAGGAGGTAGGAGCAGGGCTGCCTGGAGAAGCATTGCCTGACCTCCAGTGGCACCCAGTGCAGAGCTGCGACCCCTGACACGCACCTGTGTGTGTGTGTGTGTCTGTCTGTCCTTTCTCAGGTACGAGAGGGTGCCTGTGATCCTGGTGGGCAATAAGGTGGACCTGGAGAGCGAACGAGAGGTGTCACCAGGCGAGGGCCAGGCCCTGGCTCAGGAGTGGGGCTGCCCCTTCATGGAGACATCTGCCAAGAGCAAGACCATGGTGGATGAACTGTTTGCTGAGATCGTGAGGCAGATGGACTATGGTTCCCAGCCAGACAAGGACGCCCCCTGCTGCTCCTCCTGCAGTTTGCAGTAGCGCTCTGCGATCAGGCCAAGCGGCGTGCCGGCTTCAGGAGACACAAAAAATACAATAAAGGTGCAAAAAAAATGGAAGCTTGATGAGTGTGACCTTCTGAATGCTAAAACAGTCATAACCTGTGACGGTGATGGAACATTACATGTGCGGAAAGATGGTGGGGGAGATTATTGCCAAACTGCTGAAAAGTGCTCCTTCTTGTTTTAGCTCTAAGGGGTGGGGGGGGTCATTGGCCTCGATTTAGGTTTTTCTGAAGTATGACTGTTCGGTTGTAGTTATTCAAATTTCTTTTACTAGTCTGAATTGTTATTTACCTCCTCCATGACACTCTGCCTTCAGTCCCCTCCGGCGTGGTCGCTCTCACCCCCAGGTGTCACTACAAGCAGCACGCTTGTAACTCGCCTGCTTTCCACCCTCACCTTCTGCATCCTCAATACCCATGCAGAAGTTGTGCCTTGATCCAGGGGGGGGGGTCCTTTCTCTTCTGGAGGAATTGAAAAGGCGATGAAAAAAGTAAAGCCTTCCATGACAACCACCTCTGCTTACAGCCGCCTTTCTGTTTGACAGAGAACAGAGGACTATGCGTCTTGGTTGGAAGTCCTGTCATTGTACGTTGCTCTTTCATCCCCTGCCCCCGAAGGTTACCCAAGACAGTAACTTCTGCATTCTCATTGGCTGGCACACTCCCCAGAACCACTGTAATTCTGTCAGAACTCATCCATTATGTATTTGGGAATATATACCATGTGTTCTTATGGTATTAACAGTATGGAAATCAAACGCACATATGTGTGTATGCGTGTGTGTGTTTGGTTCTGACAGTGCGTGAGCTTCACAGAAGACCCTGATCTCACGCCTGGGGGGGGTCATCAGCCTTAATGCATGGCCAGCTAACAAGAACGACAAAAGAAATCTGTAGTGTGTTATTTTTATGTCATCGAATTGTGAGTCGGACCTCAGGAATTTGATGCCGTCAGAACTTTGTTCACTCCTCCCAACTTAAGTCCCTTTCTTACATGAAATGGACGATGGTGCATTTTATTTCTGGGCATGAGGGATTTTTAACGGTCCAGCCCACATATTGCCTCTGAAAAAAATGTTTCCAGGCAGGTCTTTGCTCCGCCTGTTTGCTCGGACTCAGCAGCTAAGTGTTTTTTACAGATGCGGATTTGCCGGATGTGCTGCGGCTCCTCTCCGTCCTGAGCCATTAGCAAATGGCAGGAGCTCCATGAGCACGCCGGCTGCTCTGTGTTCAGACGCCATGATCCGCCTTTGCTCCTTGAAGCAGCCAGCAAAGCAGGCAGCTAAATCACATCCACTTTTTGTTTTCAATTTAGTCACGTTTCACACATGCTGCACGTGAACCCCGACCTGCTTCCCAACTTGAAGAAATTTAATTGGGGTTGGGGGGAGCATTTTTTACCTTGGGATGCGACGTTTACTTCAAGTTTCCTGGAACCTTCTGCCGGGGTGACCTCAGATTCAGTGTGTATTTCTTCAGCAGCATTTGTTATGTTAATGATGCACTCAACATGTTAGAAGGCAAACGGCACTTTGGGAGAGGGAATAAGGCAGACATTACACCACCATTGCTGTCCTCTGCTTTCTAACGATAAACGGAACTGAAATAACAATGACCATAATAACCATGACAATGGGGACAAATAAATAAATAAAACAGGAAAAGCCATGTGCAGTGTGAGTCTCTCTGTGACAGTGGGGCAGGGTTGGTGCACCAAGGCCTGTTGTCCCTCAGATGCCTTGGCCTGGGCAGGTTTTTGAGATCTCCTGACAGTTCAGCCATCTTAAGTGGTTTACCAGTGATCATGTTCAACCTCATGCTTTCAGTGAGTAATGTATTTGAAATATATAAGCTAATAAGTATTGGTAGTAATTGGCCAGTAAATTAATCAGTAAATTAGTTACTTGCAATGGTACTTATTGCTGAATTTTCCTCCAGCCCTGTGTCGAGCATGTATAAACATCAAGTAAATGTTTTGAAGTCCTTCACTCTGACTTCTCCTTCATATTTTTTACCATTGGAGAGGCACCTTCCCAGGAGTAACGGGAGTGTTTAGTGATCAGCTCCTTAGGCTTAAGTGGCCTCTTTGTCGCTGTTGCACTCAAGGTTAGACTCCCCCACCCTCAGCTAGTGGCTGTAGCTACCTTGCAGGCTGTGAGCATATATTTATATTCTGTAAAGTTAGTATCCCATAACGGACAGCCTGATAACCTGAATCCAACCTTTGCATCTACTAACCTAAAAAAAATGCTGATCCTATCTGCTTTGTGGCTTATTAGGGCACTGTAGCAAAATTTTTACTAAGCTAGAAGAGAAAATGATGTGGATTTATTTTATACAAACATGTTCCAGTTTAAATGGTTGCTGTTTCAGATGTCTACATCCGTCCTCATCAGTTACTCATACACCTTAAACCGCTGGTTTATTCGGACTGACCCGAGGTCATCGGCTTCACAGATCATCGTGGGACGTGTTGAACAGCCAGTGACGTGCCGGGTGACTTGTCTCCTCGCTTGTCAAATCTTGAAAAACATTAGTATATAAAATTCAAGTCCTAGGGGGCTTAAGATTATTTTTTGTTTCTGAAATTCAGGCAGCTGGGGACTCAGATGACTCATGCCTTGTGGGAAATGTGTTTGCCGTTTTATTTTTTACCCCACGTTTGCATTTGGATTGGGCCCCAAACCGGCCATTTCCCAGGACTCCATCTTATGTTCACACTGCTGCCTGCTTTGTCTTGTTGGTTTTTTCTTGGGTTTTGCTTCACTAACTGAGTCTTTGTGGCTTATGGTCGCACAGCATTTCAGCTGCTGGACTGCAGTTTTGACTTAAATTCTGCTTCTCAATTAACTCACTGCCTGTGTGTGACGAGATCACATCCTGCCAGTTACCTTCTTAGTCCTGTAGGAGTCCATCAGAACCATCCAATCAGCTGCATAGCCGTGTCACTAGGTCACTTCCTGCCAGTTACCTTCTCAGCCCTGTAGGAGTCCATCAGAACCATCCAATCAGCTGCATAGCCATGTCATGAGGTCACATCTTGCCAGTTAGCATCACAGCTCATAGGAGTGACTGCAGGTGCCACATTAGGGACTTGCTAAGGTAATTACACAAGACCCGCCCCATCTCCCCCACACACACATTTCTGAAGGAATTGTCTTCTCTTTCAACAAAGCACCTTCTTGCAGAAGCAGAAACACTGTCCTGCCACAGCACACAGCTTGGGGCACAAAGACGAAGGTGCTGGAGTGAAGCCATTCTCACCAAGAAGTCACCTGTGTGCCTTAAAGCAGCCATCGAAATCGATATCATTACCGAGGATTTACTGCAAACATGCATGTGGCTAAGAAACACCTGATTAATACGCTCTCCTACTTTAAGCAGCTTTATAACAAAACAAATGCTTCTTCTGCGAAAATTACCTTGGATCATCCAATACGGAGGTCCCTTCAACTCTGATAACTGCAGACTATGGTGGTGCGCCCCCCCCCCAAGCCTCAAGGTGACCGGAAACCCCCTGCCTTAGACCACCATGATGGAAGGGTGCCTAAGGTGTGACAGGGTTTGCCTGAAACACTAGATATATTCTTTAGAGAGTTTGTTCTGGAAAATACTTTATTTTCCATCTGCTCAATCAATGATCCTCACATCTGCATTGTTTTATTTTATTTATTAGTTCATCCATCCATCTACCAACCACTTTTCCTAGTCAGAGTCATGGGGAGGCCAGGGGCTGGGGTACACCCTGGGGGGGACATCAGTCTGTCACAGGGCACGGGGCTGGGGTACAACTAAGGCTTAGGGTTGGTCTGTGTAACAAGATCATATATGAACAATACTTTTGGTTCTAAGCTGAGCAGGAAGAAAAGAATAAAACTGAATCATTAGAATATGGTGAATCTCCATTAGGTAGGTCAGCTGAACACAGAGAATAGAAGAGAGTAGAAAGCTGATACAGGTAGTGGCTTCAGTTACTGTATGGGGAGGTGCACCCTCTGCTGGACAGAAGTCATAAATACACTTGGTTGTCTGGCCATCTGCTTGGCTGTGCTGATAGAGAAAATTCCAAGTGAACAATTTCACCACTAGTAATTTTGCAACTGCTTTCAATTAAATGCAAACCAAAATTAACCAAACATTATGGAAATGTTTCAGCATTTCAGCCAGGAATACCTAGCTTATGACTGCAGTTTGTAATGGTACAACAATGAGAAATAGTACTGGAACAATGGAGAGATATATGTACATAACTATTACTGGTTTATGAAGTATGATGTGTACTGGAAGTGAGGAAGGGATTTCTGAGTAAGAATAACCCCTGGGGACTGTGAATGTGAAATGTAAGTTACCAAGCTGGTTCTGATAAGGTAAACACACACCTTAAATTTATACCATGTACAAGAAGAAACCTTTGAATGGTTGCAGGGTGACTTAACACATTGTTTATATACATGGTGACTGATCAGCTTTTAACCCAGTGTTTCCCAACACTGGTTATACCCAATTTTCCCCCCCAGATGGTCCACGTTTTTGCTCCCTCCCAGCTGCCTGCTAGAAGTCCATGTTTTTGCTCCCTCTCAGCTGCCTGCCAGACAGCCCACATATTTGGATAGGAATTGATCCCCAATCGTTAGTAACAGGCCAATTTGTCTTACAGGTTGTGCCTTTACCTCCTATTACATCATTTTCGGTTAGGGTACCTAATCCATTTTGTCTATGGGTAATTAAGTATGAGGTATTTCATTGAGCAATCTTATTTTCAAATTATCTAGTGGTTGATTAATAAAATGTTAAACCCTATTTCAATAATTGAGATTATGACTGGTCTTGAATTAATAATTTGCTTTTACAGAATGTGATAATAGAATAAAAGGAACATTTCACAGCATGTCATGGTATGTCTGTTTAGTGAATGAGCTAGTATAGGAATGTTTATTGTTAAATGGCTAATGAAACAAAAGGCCCTTAAAGGCAAAGCACACCAAGCAGCCAATACCACCCTCTTCCTCTTTAAAGAGACTCTGCGGCTGAACTCCTTCCCTTTAAGGCAGACCCAAGTCATGTCCTGGCAGAAGACCTCTCAGGGTGTGGCCTCATCACACACTATTACTCCCAGGGTAAGATTCAGCAAACTAAAGACTCTTTTTGAATCAAAGCAAAAGCGCAAATGAGAAATACGAATTGTGAGTCCAGAGAGTGAGAGTATCAGGAAGCCACTTTGTGAGCAAACACCTAACTGCACTGGAGGACGGCAATAAGACGACCAGTAAACATTCTCTGTGGCAGTACATTCTGCCATTGCAAAACAAAGGATAACACTGTTACCTGAAATTACATGTACTTTTATTTTTCACTTACTATAAACATACCGTCTTCACAGAAAGTCATGAAAAGCTTGCTTATTTCAGTAAAAATATCACAAATGTATTGGTTTTATGACAAAAATTATTACTTTACACATCTGTTTACAAAATATGTATCACATTAGAAACAAGCAGTAGTTTTAAGTAATACATACATTTCAAGTAGTAATAAACTGAAACTCAAATTATAGTTATAAAAGAGCAGTTCTGAGTTAAAAAGTTCACTGACGAGCAGCCTCATTAGGTGCTTTTTAATTAATAACACATTTGCAATAAAAATCACCAAATGTTTGTGTTTAGTATACCTTTGGGAGCCAATGACTACAATTGCAATTAATATAAAAATTGCAGAAACAGAAATGAATGAGTCAGTCAAAAAAATTATGGCACGTAATGCAAAGAAAATGTCTGGGCAAAAGACATGTCCAGATATGTTCAACACTGCTTGGCAATGGATTTTTGTTATGAAACCAATACATTTGCAACATTTCTATAGTATTGAGCAAGTGTCTCAAAACTTTCTGTGAACACTGCATGACTATTATAGAAACCCCAGCTGATGATGATGCTTCCATGTACAGGTGCAGCATCAGCAATTTGCTCCCCAAAAGCTGACCTTGTGTGTGTTACATTCTGTCCATGCTGGTTCTGAGTATAGTGAGTATAGCCCAGTATATCCTGACTGCAATGTCTCAGGATTCCTTTCATAGAGACTGGAAAAAGTGGGTAGGTAAGACTTTGTGGTGAGTGGGACAAGAATGTGGGCTCTACCCCCTGCCTGCACAGGCTTGAATCAGACTGGGCCCAGTTACAAATGCAGGCAGACTGACCATGTACCCATCATATTTTACAATTCACACTGTCCTATGGTGTCTTCAATTCCAGTTTAAGACCATCTACACAAAGCTGACTGGAACTTAAATATTTCAGACACAATAAAGTCACTCCAAGTTCAGATGACCGCCCTTAAATATAAAGCATGTGAAGACATGATCAGAATGTAACGTCATTTTCCCTGAACAATAACTACTGGTTAATGTGGTTATCTGGTAGAAATGTGTGAAGTTTGGGTCAATTAATGAGTAGTTTCTCTACTTCATAATAACCTATATTTCATTCACAGAGGATGACAAAACTGAAAATACTTCCCAATTCTGGGCAGCTATAGAGAGCCACTACGAGTGGATTTATTAAATTATCCCTTTTCCGCACTAAAGCCCTTTCACGTACATTTTCTGTAATGGTTGTGCTTTTATTTCATTATCATATATTGCAGTGAACGTATTTTAAGAATGGGACTGTGCTGTAGGTGCCTGGAGTCTCCCTAAGGCACAGATTTCTAGTATTAAAACGTAAACGTTTTTTATTTTTGCTATAGGTAGAGAAGTTTCTAAGCAAATTTGAAACTGGTTATTGATGGCATTACCAGGTTTCTCCGCTAGGAGGGAATGTGCTCACAGTTACAACGGAGAAATACTGTAGAATAGCGGACCCACGAATTATGCTTCAATACTGCGCCTGACACTTACCACTTCCACAGATTTTGTTTATCCAGTCTAAGTTTAAAAAATTTCAGCGATTTCTAAAAACTTTACAAAATTAATCTTCGTTCTGTGCGTATCATATTATTAAAGTATTCTGCATATTGCGTTGCCTCACTTATATAAAGTCTCAGCAATCAAGACCAAAAATGTTGAAAAAAGGTCTTAAAAATCAGCGATTTTTTTTCATGTACGTTTCCCTTAAAGATTTATGGTCATTGCTGTTATACGACTAAGGACTGGATGAACGCAGTCAGGATCGTTTGTTTTAAGGTTTACTTTCACTTTCGACAGCAAACGTCGGCGTACGTATCCGCCTGACTTCTGGGGTGAGTACCTGTTTCAACAAAAATGTCGGTGATTATTATTTCGTTTGAAAGCCATATGTTTATTAGAATGAAACTGAAAATGTTAACCGTTTTAATTCCACTAAAACGTTTTGCACTTTAGTCTGTCACAAACCTTGGACCCCGATCCTGCAAACATCGGAAGAGCTAATTTACAAATAGAATGTAAATGTTTAAATTTCATTCTCTGGGGATGCACGTCGTTCTTTTACTTAAGCTGATTAAATAATTATATGTTTCAGTTATGTTAAATAAGACCCCGATCATTTGGAATCATGCCAAAATGAAATTTGCTCAATTTCTCGTTATAACGGTAATGGTTACTCGTTTTAACGTGAAAGCTGTCTAATTACAGCACGTTTTTAACCTTATACTGTTTTTGTCATGGTGGCAGACCAAGGCAAAAGATAAATTTGAGACCATGATACCATAAAGATGTTCTCTTTCTGAACATGAGCTGTAGCTGAGCGCTGTAGCTATAATAGTAAATGAGTTACAGCTCAAAAGAAAACACTCTGCATTGTCATATATTTACTATCCGCTGTGAAGAAATAGGGACATGACTTTAAAAATTAACAAAAGACATTTCTGAGCAGGAAATAGGTATAAATCACGCCACGTTTCACCAAAATCAAAAAAATAATCAATTTTTGGTTGGATATTGGTTGGGTTGTATTGATACTGATTAATTAATTTATTTATCTCATCGCCATATTTCTTCTTCCTATTACAGACATTCCATGGCATCACAACAGGCCACAGAAGGTACAGGTCAAGACCAAAAAGAGCAAAGAGACAATTTGCACTGGAAGAAATTTCTGCCAGAGGCCGATTTTTACCAGGAGTTTAAAAATACCCAGTTGTCTCATAAAACTGTGCTGTGCTTCGGGTTGAATAGAGCTGGCAATGAGCTCTGGGACTACTGGGGATACACCTTCAACATTCCTGGAGGTGACCATGCAGAGAAGCAGGTGGTGCAGGCCCTCTCGGACCTCCTCACGCCGCATCGGCTCTGCTTGGCTCTGAGGTACCGGCTGACCTTGTACCTCTCCTATAGCCCCTGTGAGGACTGCTGCTGTGAACTGCTTGCATTCGTGAAGTCTCTGAAGGTGGTTGAGGTGGATGTGATGGTGTCCAGGCTGTACTGCACTGAGGAACACCCCGTGAGGAATAGGCTCCAGCAGCTCATGGCGTCAGGAATCAGGTTGACTGTGATGGGCAGGAAGGACTTCGAGCGATGCCTCTACCTGTTTGTGAATTCTAACTCCAACTTTAAGCCATGGCCAGAGCTGGATGCAATGAGCAGGAGATATTCTGTGGACCTGCACACTATTCTGCACGAGGTGGGGCTTTCACTCATCGGTACTTGTAGCATATTTGTAGTCACTGTTTATGTTTGTTTTTACATCCATGTTCCTTAGCCCTTGTGGTCCTGGGCTTGTTAGGCATTTAGAAGATGGATGGTTCTTCCATAACTACTTATTCAGTATGAGGTTCTGGTGAGCCTATACAGTGTTCTAGATCATTTTTTTCAAACTGGTTGGTTCGAGTTTTAAGAAATTCGAGTTCTAATGAGTTTGAGAACTGAGGTACCACTGTAGTTTTAATGGTGCCAGCAGTGAAACAACTAGCCAGCTTATTAGCGGAATAACTTTGTATTGTAAATGAAAACCATGCCGCAGGTCCAATAAACAAAATATTGTAGCTCTTGAGTGGCGAAGAAATCATCAGGTGGACAGTAAAGTTAGACAGTTATTAGCAAACTTTTATTGCGCGATTCTTAAAAGGACAGCGTTAATGTGCTCCTGAGGGGATAAAGTACTTTCCCTTACAATACGTTTAGCTTATCACTTAGTGCATTGCAGTTACAAAACGTATACGTAGTTTTACACAACGTGTCGACACTAAAGTTCCACGTCAACGCATTTTTATAATCGACATATAATCGTTCCAGCCCTAGAGCAGATTAAAAAACAATTTAAACAAGGGACTTGTGGGAAAGTGATTCTTGTGATTTAAGGTTAAATGTTTAACAAACAAGTCAATAAGATACAGAGATCTTCCATATATTTGCATGCTGCTTCTCATCGACAGATTTCTGTACCACATTGTGTTTAAATCACTTTCATGAAAACTTGATTATGTTTTCTTCAATGCTATGTTAATTTTGTATGTGTCTCTCATTTTAGTGTGAATGTGATTGGCATCTGAAGCCAGAAAATTTAGGTATGTATGTTGAATTAAAAACACCTGTTTTTGCCTTTGATTCATTGTATGAAATAGAAGACTTAAGGGTTGTGTTTGTGGTTGTAGCATTTTAGACATGGGTCAGTATGGTACCAGAACATTAGGCCGCAATGCTCGTTTTGATGTATGTGAATTTTAGTGCTTTAAAAGTTACATGTGTGGAGGTGTGTTACAGACAATCCCACTGCCCTTCCATCCCTGCAGATTATGCTGCTTTGGAGAGAAGCCCCTCTCAGTCAACGGCGGCTGTCTGCAATGGGCAGGGTCTTCGATGGCCCAACACTCCACAGAAACAGAGTGGGGTGTCGGAGAGCGAGAGGGACCCAAAGGGACAGCCTGTAAAAAGAACGCTTTTTAAAAGATAAGTAGATTAGGACAGCCCCTCCATAAATCACGACCTTCTCATGGTGGAGGGGTTTGTGTGCCTTTGTGATCCTAGGAGCTATGCTGTTGGGGGCAGTCGCCCTCGGTGGGGTCTCGCAAGGCAAATGACAGGTGGAAATGACAACTTGGGGACATTTTTACATATCAGAAAATATTTGCCCACGGTACCAGCTATAATTTATCCTGTGCCTTACTAACTGTGATGTGTGTTGGAAATATCAGGGCACAGGGGCAGAGTTAAAGGCAGGGCCGTCGACCCTGGGCCTCCCCTGGATTGTAGAGGACCCTCCAATACTAAATACACATGAAGTCATACTGACGTAATTAATCTCAAGCACTTGACAGCTAAAATACATTTCTTACGTTTCATTTTGACTTGTGAGTTTATATGTCTGTCATTTTTTGTATACATTCTTATTATGGTGGGTGTATGGTGTAATTTTTAATTTTTAGAAAAAAAACCTGTAAAATCCCTACAACAAACTTAAAATATAATACATAGTAATGTTTTGAAGTCAAACTAAGCTGTTCCTTTTGTATTTAATGGTTTTCCGTTTGAGGGTTTTGCAAAAAACTGCAGTGCATGATGGGTAGGATCTAAAGGCTGCCTAACGTTCTCGTCTGTCTGACGACTGTATATATCCTGATTATATGAAGTGGGCTTTTTATTTGTTTGTTTGCAATTTTGCCAGGTAGCAGGGCTGTCAACTTTGGTCAGCCGGCTAGCGTGAGATTTTCGATTTCAGACAAGTACGGACACGCATTTACAGTTTTATTACTACTATTATTACTTTGGGGTTTACGGAAGAGGATTAGGGCCACCATGAAAACATTATTTGAATTCTGACTTTAATGTCAGAATTCTGACTTTTTTTTCTAAACTCAGAATTCTGATTTTAATCACAGAATTCTGACATTAAAGTCCGAATTCAAATAATATTTTCATGGTGTCAAGTTGTTTTCTAGGCATAGCCAAACAAATCTCCTCCTGTCTGAAAAGGTGTAGAAAACGCAATTTAGGCACTAAAACTTGGAGTCTGTCCCAGGCAGCACAGTGCCCAGTACCAGGGAATATCCTAGACAGGATCCCCCTACAGGGCACATTTGCTGACTGGGAAAGTGGGGAATTCCAATTAGCCAGAGTGCGGTGGAAACCTACCCGACACAGAGAGAAGATGTACAGGAGGCGAGATTCACATCCTCAGCTTTGGAGGTTTGGGGCAACAGTACTATTCACTAAGCCATCCTACCACTTTTTATTGTGATGATAATCAATGAAAATATTGTGAGCGTTGTGTTTTAAAAAGGTGTACATGGAGGTAGGCTGTCTTTGTGATTAACATTTTAATAAAGCGGGTATCTTTGTAAAGTATATTTTTATTTGAATTTTTATGATTAACGTCTCAAGTTTCAGAAGCATGGACAGAAAAAATAAGGAGTTCAAAATTAAAAGGGAGGGGGGTTAAAAAAAGGTTCATTACATATTACTGTGTACAAATGGCTATAAAACAGGCATGTATGATATTGTGTTCTAGAAATATGGTTATGTGTTGTAATTAACATCATATCCTGTCCCTGAATAGTCCTGGTTTATATCTTCTCGTTAAAGTTGATTGCTGTCTTACTGTGCTTTGTGTAGTCATTATTAACGTTTATGAACAATGTCTTGTGAACATCTCACTTTTGTTAAATTGTTCAACGAACTATTAGTCATTGGTATGAATCTCACCCTCTTCACCTAGACTGGATCATCACTGAAGTGAAAGTCTATATGTCTCTGGGCCTCATAATTTTGGTGTTAACGTCTTTGTTAATGGCTTATTGTTGTGATGATTTTCATAGATATCATCATTGTGTTGAATGACATATTTCTGCGTGCACTTTGAGTCATGGGTTTCGTTTAATCGCTACAGCTGTTTAAGCCGGAAATTTAAGCGAAGTACATGGTATGATACACTTCTATCCTGGACCTTAAGGGGGCAGCCTACACATCTGCAAACTCGCGCAGGTACAACACACCCCACCACCACTGCCGGCTGTTTTATAGCTCTGTTATCGTTTATTATTATAATGATGAAGATGACGGTAGTGAGGAAGGATCTCGTGCGTTTCAGTGTGGGCTGCGGCGAAGCGACAGGACCGCTGGAGGGCGCTGCGCCATTTGATTTTTGGCCTGTTGTAGGTGCAATGCCAATTAGAGAGGTTAGAGGCACTGTGCCGCCTTCATTGTTTAGCTAAGTAACTCCACACTGATCCTCCGACGGGTTGAGTCCGCTCCCGTCCTCGTAGGCAGTCGGTCCGACATGACGACCGCGGAGGAGTCTTGTTTCGGGACGACCAGGTTCTAAACTGTTTCTGAATTTACGAAAGCTAGTCCAAGCTGCAGAACTCCAGGGGCATCAGGAATACTGTGGAATAATTGCTTGTTGGACCTCTGCAGATTTTTACAAGAACGGTAAGTATTAAGCGCCCAACTTGTGAATCAGACCCGCATTGCTAGTTAACTTGTTTTAGGACCAGATTAGTGTCTTGCTCTCTAGCTTTACAGCTACCGTACCTGGGCATTTCATTTACCGCGTCCCTGGCTGCTTAGATCCATCTACCGCCTAGCTAGATAGTTAAACTTTTATGACCATGCAACAGCTTTACGTGTTTGCTACAATTGTAAAACAGCTGTTTGTTGCAAAAGACAATAATCCGGTTTTGTAGGTTTATGCGGCGTATTGTTGCAGAATAAAGGCTATTGGGAAAATGTGCAAATTACAGAATAATGGGGAAAACGAATCTATGGCTAAAATTAGTCAAACACGTTTATCTACACCTTATGTCGTTTCTTTTTTCGTCAGAAAAAAACAGGTATTAGATAAGTTACTGCAAATCTCCAGTACCGCCGGGTTTGTACCAGCATCCACTACTGAATGTCACCCGGTAATCTGAGGATAAACGAAGAATTCACCAGGTTTCATCAATCCGATCCTTGTCTTGGAGGGATATATTTCCGTTAACACGCAGTCGGTGAAGTTCTAACATAAACTGTTGATTGGGGACGAATCGATTTGAGTCGAGCTGCTGGAAGATCCTGGACGTGCGAGCAGGAAAGGGTGGGCGTTCACTTACCACGGCGAGCTGCGCTCTTTGCCTGTGTGAGGGAACGTTTATCTCATATTAATAATATCGATGTACATGTGAAAGATTGATTCTTTTGCCTGCACAGTATCACCGTAGGTCTCTATGTCCAATGAGTCTGTTTGATATTCCTGTGTTAAGCTCCCGTGTGAATGTACTTAGCCCACTAACATAGTAGTTTTAGGATTACACTGCTAACCTACTTTCGGGGGTATGGCTTCCCGTAAATGAATGAACCCGTTATTCTGGCGGTCCGGTCGTGCCGTGTACTGCGGGAAAGGGGGTATTTCAAGGTCTCGGCTCCAAACGAGTTTCCGCGGATCATCCTGGGATTTGTCGGGGCTGTCAGTGTGACCATGGGCTCCCTTTGAAATCGGCTTCAAAGCCCTCGATGTGGCTTATTCTGCTTGATTATTTAATGGCTTTCTGCCAGGCATGTGGTGGATAAGACTGGGCTACAAGATAAGCTTTCATCAGATGAGCTCCAGACATGAATTTTCTGGTTGGTTAACGAATATCGTGTTTAAACGTATTATGTCGTTCTTAATAATAATTGTTCTCTTTTACATGTGTTAAATATTCCTCAGAAATATAATAATATATTGCAAATGTGTTTCCTTGGTGCTCATTAATGAGCCAAAATTCTTCTCTGTGTGCCCATTTTCTTTTCCCTACACTAGTGTATACATTGACTACCATAAAGATAGGTCACAGTGAGTAAGATCTGGTACTAGAGTCAAGTTGGTAAATATCACAGACACCTTTCAGTAATAAAGGAGCCTGAGAAGCTGAATTTATGATCATTCACTTTATGTGCTAGCTAGTCATAAAAAGCTGCTTTTGCAGAATCAGTGGCACTTGGCCTAGGCTATGGCACAAGCAGAAGCGTGGTTGAGATACTTGGGTGCTTCCAGGCCTTCTGTCTTGAAGAGCTGTTGTGCCTTTATGACTGATTGTCATCAAGCATCGTCTAGCTGCAGAGTTCAGCTCAGGTTCAATTCCCTGTGCCTGGTGACTTAAGACTCACTGTCTTGTTACTGCATGCAAATTGTGCACTGGATTTTTTTCTCTGTTGTAGTGTATCGCTAAAGAAGCCGCAACATTTTTCTCTTATCTGGAGGCAAACGATCAGTTTGCATTTTGTAAGGGATAGATGTTCAGGCTGGTGACTTTTTGTTGAGACGTGTCAGTCACCCTGCAGCAAATCCTTGTTTTAGCCTTGAGAACCGTGAGAGTGTCTCACTCTGGTGATTGCCCCGCAGATGGACTGTCATTGTGAGACTCTAATGCCTGTGTTTGAAGCTGTAGGCTTGTAGGGGTGGTGCATGTACAAAAACACAGCCACTTCCTATCGACCCTCACCCCTAACACTGTCACGATCTCAGTGTGAGGTTAGATCACCTGGGCAGCATGAAGCAGACTGTGCCTGTCCAGTAGATATCTCATCTTCCCTGCACTGCGTGACCAGGTACTGATGTCATGGACTGGATTTGTTGCTTGTAATTTTTAACATTAGACTCCTGAAATAAAACTGCCGGCATGGCCTTGAGCAAAATACCACACCTGCATAGCGTATGTAAACTTGACTCTGTCATTAACTAATGACATTAATTAATAATCTGGGTAAAGGTATCTACAAACAGATTAGTAATGTAATATTACTAAAACACTCAGTGGCTAGTGTGTTAGATATACCTGCTCAGTAAATCATGTTATATTTAAATACATACAGCACACAGACAGGGTCAAGAGATTCACTTACTACTCTACTAATCATTTGAACAGACAGGATGGCTGATCTACGTGATTTTGAACTCTTTTGGTGTGATCGTTGGTGAATTATGTGCTCGTCCCAGCATCCCTAAATCTTTCTCCCACCTGGGATTTTCACCCACTGCAGTATTTACAATTTATGAAGGATGGTGCAGTGAATACAAAACCATCCAGTCAATGGTATTTCTGTGGCCAAAGCCAGCGGAGAAGGTCAGAGGAGAATGAGCTCAAAAGCTAGCAGGAAGGCCTCGGCTCAGTTTTACATTGGTGAGCAGAAAGTCCTTGAGCAGAAAGTGGTTTTTGACACTGTCTCCTCCATTTCATTTCTGCCATGGATAGAGTGATGGACCAGAGGTCTATGTCTGTCTTGTAGGAGCCTTCAGGAAGGTGGCATGAGCTTTCAATCAATCATCAATCAATTCATTTTTATATAGTGCCTTTCACAACAGTGTCGTCCCAAGGCGCTTTACATGGATGTGTTGTAATACATTAAACATAATTAGATAGAGTAAAACAGGCCAGGAAAAAGGAAGGAAAGAAATTAAATAAAGAAAGTCAGATGACAATGGAGGAGAGGAACCAAAAACTCCCAAGTAAGGAGAAAAAAAACCTCTGGGGGTCCAAGGTCACCTGGTTGCCCCCCCCCCCCCCCCGGGCAGACTGACATTACTGAAAACAGAAAATAGTGGACTTGCTTGCTAAAAGCCAGGTGTAAGCTGTGATTAAGGATCAAGACGAAGTCCATCAATGAGTCTATTGTCCACGTTGGCCTGTGTAGGGTGGCATTGAAGGCTGCACCCATGATGATACAGTTCGTAGGTCCCATTCGTGATGTCACCCCTCCATGGGACTGAACCAGGACTCCAGCTCAGATGGTGCCAACCCCAGACATGTAGAAAGGCAGAGAACATGGTGGTCAGAACATGCACTGACACATTAATGGACAAGCACAGTAGATTAAAATGGCAAGTACAGCAGCACCAG